AATCTTCGCCGGCAGGAGGGTAGTAGACGTAGTGGATGCCGCCGTCAGGCGTACGGCTGTCATCATACCCCTCAGAGTAGCTGTAGTTGTCTCCGGTACCCGCTTCGACGTAGTGGGCGTACCCCGAGTCGTGGTAGCCATCGTCGCAGTAGTAGCCGTCGTCGTAGTCGCCGTGATCCTCGTAGTAGCCGCCGTCGTCGTGGGCGTAGTACACTACGTACGCCTGCTCTCTCCCGTGGCCGGAGCGCCCGTGCCTCGGGCCTCTACCTGCCCGCTCTCTCTCGGCACGCCCATCGCTGCCCTGGCGTCCCGTGGGCCGTCGACCCCCCGGGTGCCGCCCCAGACGACCACCAGGTCCACGTCCACGAAGAGGTCGCGGGGGGGGTGAGGCTTGGCTCCAGCCACCGCCACCATGACCGGTGTGGTGCTGCTGCCCTTCAACTCTCACCCAACGCCCGCCACCCCGGCCGGCTCCCGACGGCGGTCTTCCTCCTCGCTGGCTCCAGCCGCCGCCACGGCCTCCGCCGCCACCCCCGTGACGATCCTCGGCGGCTGCTCTCGTGCGCGTCCGCCGCAGATGCTGCTGGTTACGGCATTGCCCATTCGTGTGTAGTTCGGTCTGGTGGTAGCGGCAAAAACCGGTGGGATCTTCGACGAACACGTCACGGTTTCTCTCGCCATCACGGATTTCACGGTCTTGACCGTCGACTACTCCTTGTCCCCCGGATGCCCCCCCATTGCCCCCGCCGCTCCGGCTCGCACCGGACGCGACGAGGGCGAGCTCCGCCTCTCGCCTCTGCTCCTTGCTCCTCTCGCGCTCCATCTCCATGTGGGCGTCCCTCACCACCGTCTCAAGGGCATGCAAAGTCACGACATCGCTTGCTTGCAATATTCCTTCTTGCACGGCATACGATGGGGGAAGGCCGCGCACAACGTCCTTGTAAGCATGTGTTGTGTCTTTGATAGTTCCTACTGAGGCAAGACGTAATCGAAGAGCTTCCGACCTTGCTATGTAATCCTGTGGGTTCTCCGACTCACGCATTTCTAACGCCAACCACTCTTGCTCAAGCCTAGTCTTCTCAGACTCCTTCTTCTCTTGGTAGAAATTCGTGACGATCTTCCACCCCTGCTGGGGACTCTCACATGCCATGATCAAGTTCTGGATCGGAGGGTATAGAATCTTGCTGATGATAATATTCCACAACTTCAACGACTTGTCCACCACATCAGTCCCGAAGATGCCCCTTAGCTCTGCTAGATCCACACCCCTCTTGCCAACCTTGACATCAGTGATCCCTAATACATCATATACACCCTCCTCCTGAAAATACGACACCATCTTACTGCGAAAAACTTCAAACATAATATACAAATCCTGCTCTTTCTTCACACTTCCAAGGCAAGGGTCTATTTCAGAGCCGGGGTTGACACGAAACGTGCCTGCGTGGGCAAAGCCCTGATGTCCAGACATGGCCCCGGCTGTCGCCTTGACCGCTTGCGCCACGATGCTGGCGACGTTGGTGGGATTGTTGAAGGATTGGGATCCCAGGCTGGAGGGTGAAAGCTGGTTGCCGGTGGGCGGTATGTCGGCTGGTGTGGGACGTAGCGACTGCTCGCCGATGGTAGGTGACTGCTGTTCTGCTGGCAGTGGGGCGATTTCTGCTCTCTCCTTCGCAAGTTGGGCGTCCACCCTTCGTTGAACTTCTTGTTGCAGCTCTTCTTTGCTGAGGGTGGAGAGGTCGATTTCGGAATCCTCCGAGGTAGGCATGATGTTTTTGTTGTGGGAGTCTACCGATTGCGCGTGAATGCACAACCCCCCGGTGTACTACGACCGCGCGCAGAATCTGAATCTGATTCGCTCTAAACTCCAAGCACATCGAACTGGGGCACCCGAATTATCGAACAGCTGCTGCTGCTGCTCATTCGCCATCGCGGCCCCGCGAGCGGCGACGGTTGCTTCGCGGACAGCGAGAGCTACCTCCTTCGCGCGCAGCATGATCGCCAAGTTCGCATTCTCCGTCCTGGCCTTCCCTTTGGCTGTCACGCCGGTCGCAACATAGCTACCCTTCCTTTTGGTCACCATGTGCGTACGTGCAGCCGTAGGCACCAGACCCAAGGTGCCTCTGTTCCGCAGCGCAGTGCTCGGCACCGACGTGTTGGATTTCAAAAAGGGGCACGCTGCCCGGAGCGCACATGACGTGGAATCGGCCGGCGGTGGCCTATCGCGCGTAGATATGTGTGTAGATGTGCCAGTGGGGTCGTGGGTTTGCGCGTCTCAATGTTGCTTGCGATCAAAGTGTGTTTCGTAGGCCTTCGTGGGCTGGGAACAGCAGGGAAATTGAACACTGAAACAGGGGGGGCACGCGACATCAGCTGACACAAGCTAATTGCGCCGCTTCCTCCGTATCTATCTAATTGCGCGTCTTCACTTTCTCTCCAACTCTCTCTCTCTCTCTCTCTCTCAACTAACTGCAATTCTCTCATAAACACAACTGCATTNGACATCAGCTGACACAAGCTAATTGCGCCGCTTCCTCCGTATCTATCTAATTGCGCGTCTTCACTTTCTCTCCAACTCTCTCTCTCTCTCTCTCTCTCAACTAACTGCAATTCTCTCATAAACACAACTGCATTGTACACCGGTCGCCCCGGTGGTCTAGTGGGTAGCCTCGCAGCCTGCTAAGGGCCAGATCATGGGTTCGAGTCCCGGCAGGGAGAGTTTTTTTCTCACCAAATAAATCCTGGTCTAGGATGAAAGCGACGCGCTGCAAAGCTCGTTTGTTAGTAAACCATAATCGCCTTCGTAAGTCGCGAGGGAAGGGNGGGCAGACGGCAGAGTCCAATGATGGGAGAGAAACAAACAAACAAACATCATTCCAACCATAAACCAACACGACGACCTGTATTTTTTTTTTTCCTCCCATCACTCTCCCTTCTTCCCCTCGCTCCTCGACAAGCTTTTGCTTAGACATGGGTTGTAG